CAATTTCATTTTACTGGAAAGAATGGAATATTCTCCTTGGCGGCTGTTATTAAACATTGGCCACCAGAGGGCACTCTTAGACAATTGTATGACCCTGAAATGAATTATGCCATTATTTTTCTTGGGGTGTATTAATAAAAATAAAACATCAGAGAGGGATAGAGTTTAAAGCTGAAATCTCTTTAGATAGCAGTCTCAGACATAACCTTTAAACATTTTAAGAATGTGATTACATTTATTAAGCACATTTAAGAGTTACATTAGGTTTTCCAGTCTTCAGGAATCCTTCATTAAGAGAAGTCTTTAAAAAAAGGAAGAGGTGAAAGAAAAGAAATGTGACTATTTAAAATTAGGTTACAGTTTTTAATGCTATGTGTAAGCATTCTGCTGATGTACCAATTACTTTTTACCAAGTATGTCAAAATCATAGAATCAGAGTTGGAGGCCTCGGATCACTGAGGCCATCAAGTCTACAATAATATACCATAATTTTCCCTGCAGGGATTCCCACAATCAATTTCAAAATTTTATTTCAAATGCATCCTAGTCCACTTACAACTTTGCAGAATTAATTCTCCTAGCACTTTCTTGCTGCTTAGTTAAATTTTTTTAAAAAATGTTCTTAAACTTAGCTTTAAAACTTATTTAATCGGTTAAAGGAAACTCACCCAGTGCATCTTATCAAGCATGTCAATCAGAAGATTGATTGAAAAGCAATAATACTTGAAAAGCAATTAATGTTTTTTAAAAATGATTAAGAAAGGAGATTCAGCAGAACTTTGTGTCCATAAGGCTACTTGGCAGCCGTGTTTTTGGTGGGTATCCCTCGATTCCCAGCTTCTACAAGTTGGCTGCAGATACCTCAGTTCTTGCCGTTTTCTTATGAGGAGCAGCTGTTCAGAGTATGCTGTCTGTCTCTGGATCCTCCTTAATCTTGAATGGATTGAGTGGCCAGAAAATTCTGTCTGGCTGTTGATCTTACTGCAATGCTGTCTCTGCTTCCTAGAGATGCTTAGTTCACTACGAGTTCTCGCCAGAAGCTCACACATAACCTGTTCGTTAATCAGCATGTGATGAGGGATGCTTTTAAATACTTTATTGAAGTGAAGGTATGTTACACTTCAGCATTCCCAGAATCTATTGGAGAAGTTGATCAAAACGATAAAGTTTTCCAGAAATATTTATTTTTGATAAAGCTTGTTAATGTCTGATAATGATTATGTTTTCAAGGTGATTACAGACTGAAAACTATATAGAATGAATAGAATTCTTTTATTGGCCAAGTGTGATTGGACACACAAGGAATTTGTCTTTGTGCAAGTGCTCTCAGTGTACATAAAAGAAAAGATACATTCGTCAAGAACCATCAGGTACAACACTTAATTATAGTCATAGGGTACAATAATAGGGTACAATAAGCAATCAAATCATACTATGAAACAGTCAATATAAGTCATAAGGATACTTTAGAGGTGGGATGGTTCTTGAGCCTTTAAGTTTGGTGTTTACAAAATTGTAGAAGGCGCGGGTAGATTTTGTACGTAGGAGTTTTTCCTACTGTTTGCAGTGGTAATTGGTGCATTCTGCCTTTATCTGTCGGCATAAGGTGTTGTATCGGTTTTTAAAGTTAGTTACGTATTTAGTTTTGTTTTTACACCATAAGAATTTTTTTTTAATTTTAGGTCTTGTGATATGATAGAACCTAGAAATTTGAAGGTCTCTAACTGTTGATGCTGTGTTTTTCTAGTAGTGTAAGAGATGGTAGTATGAGAGGGTTTCTCCTAAAGTAACTTAGCCCAGGCAGAAAGAAACCTGAGAAGAATCTCAAATCATTCAAGGAGACCCTGTGGTAATTAACTCCCTATAAATGCGTTAATGTGGGAAGTCCCTGTTTTATTTGTCTTTTACAATATCCTTGTGGAACACAAGTAGGAATTGAGTCCCTTTTCTTGGTCCCTATTGCATTTGGTCTTTTCACTACTGCTTCTTTTCTTATTCCTTATTTTGAACATTACTCAACTTTTATATTTTTAAACAACCTTCGCTATTTCGATCATTTGCTTTCCTAATACCAGTATCAGTTCTACCGTTCTGTATTTCTTCTATAGCAAGGCCCATATTTCACTTATTGAGAGCCAATTGGTGTAGGGGTTAAGGCACCAGGCTAGTAACTAGGAGATGTTGAGTTGAGTTCTAGTCCCGTCTTAACTCTGAAAGCCAGCTGGGTGCTTCCTGGGCCAGTCAATACACCACACAGAGTTCTTGTTTTGTGGAAATTAGGAGGAGGAAGGAAACAATATTAGCCATATTCACGGCCTTTAGTTATTTTTAAAGTAATAAATGCGGGGTGAGGTGGGGGTGTCAAATAAATAAAATCGTATGCTTGCTTTTTAGTTCTTCATTAAGCTTTTTCTGTAGTTCCACTTGTTTCTTCTACTGTCCTCTATTTTTCCTGCTCCCTGGAATTGTTAACATTTGTGTTATTAATATCTACTGTTTTTAGAAATCCCCTCCCCCCATGAGTCCCTTTTCCATTAGCCTCCCTTACTATGGTTTGGTATGTATCATTACTCTGAGCATCCTGGAGTGTTTGAAGCTCAATATATTAATTTGACATTCTTGATTTTAGATTCTCTTAAAATTAAGAATTCCAGCACCACATATTTATTTATCTTCCTTATTCCTGCTATTTTCATTTTGAATTTATTATTTATTAGCATTAAGTCAAGAAAGTTGATCCAGTTGATCTTTTACTAACAAGACAAGCCAGGAATTTCCCATAGGGACCATGCTTGGGAGCACTTATCCCCCTCCTCTTCCCCACAAGAGAAGTTAGGGTAATTAAAGTCCCCAAACACGGTGATTTCACACTCTTCAGGAAATTTCAATTTGCTTCTGAAAATGATCACCCTTATCTTCTTCATGGCTGGGCAGAGTGTAATTTACACCAACCACACTTCAGCTTTTAATTTTTTCCTCATTTATTTCAGCTCAGACAGTCTCTACTGTGTTGCTGTTAATTCGTTTGGATTCCTGAGTAGGAATAGATATTGTCAGAATTCAGCACAACTACCCATCCTCTCCTCCCCTACCACTACACACACTTTGTTGCTTTGAACAACTTCCTTCAATTCATAGGTGGTATTCAGCAGCTTCTCACCAGTTCTGGAGAACCAGTAGCAGAAATTTTGAGTAGTTCAGAATATCACCTCTGACTGGCCCTGTCCCCATCTACTCTCTGCCTCCTGAGTCCCAGCTAATTGGCTGGGTCTTTTTTTGTTGTACTGCCCAGGAGAACGGAGCTGGAAAGCAGGTTAGTGGGATGGGGATTTTGCAGTATCCCTCCCCTGCCACGCCCACCAAGTGATGCCCACCAAGCCATGCCGACAGAACCGGTAGTAAAAAAATTTGAATCCCACCACTGCTTCAATTGCTATATTCAGTCCTGGGCGTCATCCCAGCATATTATAAATTACATTTTCTTTTCTGTACTAAGAGCATAAACTCTTACTTTTTAATTTCTCACATTCTGAGCAATAATGTACAATGTTCTGTTTTCTTTTTCCTTTTTAGTAGTTTAAGAGACCCCATTGCAACTATACTAATTTTGGTTGTGAGGTTTGGTTATTTCCTCTCCGTGCGGCTGCGCATATGGACATCCTCCCTATTGAGTATGAAGTGGGGGATAATGGCTTTTTTTGTGTGCCTATCTCTGTGCCACGGAGGTGAAAGCTATCAGCAAGACAAGTCAATGGAAATTTTTGCTTGCCAGTCTGTCTTCTCAAATCCTATCTTACTTTTTTTTTGCCAGGATTTAATTTAAAGCCTTCCTAACCAAGTTTGTCAGGCTAAACACATTGTTATTAGTTCTTGTGAAGTATAACTACATCAGTCCATCTTCTACGTTAGGGTTTTCAAATGGTGGTTATAATACACTAGGGTCCCACAAGAACTTATTGGTGCTCCTGAGAGACAGAGAGAAGCTCTCTTTCCACAGAGTTGCATGATACCTCACCTGGAATATATTTGTTTATGCTCTGGGGGGCTAAACTGTGGGCCATGGGCAAAGTTGGATTCCTTCCATGCTACTATGATCCTTTTCCATTGTTGTTATCCCCCCAAATCAGGCCAGAAAAGGCCAGAAGGACATGCTAAACCACCTCTTGTGGCACCTGCTCTTTTTCTGACCACCACAAGTCTGTCCATCGACCAGTTCGAAGGGAAAAGATCTTTCTTCCTCAATCTTTCTTTCCAATCTTATGTGGCTCCTTTCCAAGTCTATCTCACTTGCTCATAGAAAAGTGCTCACACAACCACAGTGGCTGCCTTAAAGGCAAAATACACACACAAGTATTTCCAAGTTGTCTTTGGGATGTTGAGATAGTGGGGATAGCATCCATGGTACTATTTGAGTTTCCTTCCTTCCTTCCTTCCTTCCTTCCTTCCTTCCTTCCTTCCTTCCTTCCTTCCTTCCTTCCTTCCTCCCTCCCTCCCTCCCTCCCTCCCTCCCTCCCTCCTCCTTCTCCTCCTCCTCTTTCTCTTTCTCCTTTTCCTTCTTTACTCCCTCTCTCCCTCTCCCTCTTTCTCTCTTCTTCCCTCCCTCCCTTCGCCTCCCTCCCCCCATCCCTTTTTTGACCCATTTGTTTTTGAGGGACATTGGGTGTTCTTTTGATCAGTTCAGTCTCTCTCTTGGCACTTGAGTTCTGATTGGCTGAAAGAGTTAGAAGGGGGGGTGGAAATCTTTAATTAAGAAGATAATCTCTTCTTACAACTTTCAGTGGCTCAATTTCTCCAATCCCCTTTGCTTCCACTTCAGGATTGATTGTCCTCCAGTATAGTTGAGGTCTTTTAACTTCTCCATACTCAAGGAGCAGAAGCTAGAATCTCATTTTACATTTCTTTGAGTTTGTTTCACCTTCTACCAGTCATTTAATAGTTCAATTTTTATGTTTTGCTTTCACAAAGTTTCTTTTTCTTGTTTTCTTTTTGGAAGACAGATTATGTTTTGGATTGGCTGTTATCCAGGCACCTTGCTCCTTGTATCCCTTTTCCATCTCAGCCATCCTTGGTGAGTAATCAGAGTTTTTTTTTTGCTTTGCTCTATAGACAGGCTGACAGGAACAATTGTGCAGAATTAAATGCTTTTGTTCTTTGATGCCATTCATCATGAGTCCTTTATTGAGGTCAATATTTTGAAAAATCAGGGAAACTCAAGAGAATTACTTAGAAAGATTGTGGACTTCTCACTTTCAAGATGAACTGTAATCTGTAACTAATCTGGATATCTTCTTTATTGGAAAGTTTCCAAGCTGCAGCATTCACGAAGCTATAAATTCATTTAATCTCTTTTCCATGTATTTGGACAAAAACTTTAATACCATTGTTGTTGTAAGAAGCCATTGAAATCACAGCTTGTTAGACTAATAATTGAATTGTAGGAGGAAGATCAGGCGTTATAAGATATATGTTTCTGCAATTTCATTGCATTTCTTAATCTCAGATTGTCTGGTTTGTGTTTCATAAGTTTCCACTTATCATTCTTAGAAGAATGGTCCAGATAAACTGGATCATTCCAAGAAGCAGAGAATCAATTCAGTAGATTTTTTGATGTTTTTCCATAACTGTTACAAAAACTATTAATGAGGAATAAAAGCATTTTATTGGAATATTTTTTATTGAAACATTTTTCTGGAAAGGATATCAAAAAATAAAGAACCACTATATTTAATACTTCATGTATTGACAGTAGTAAGAATTGTATTTGCACAATATAGGAAAAATGAGAACATCCCATCAGATGAAAGCATAATTTGGAAAATATTGGACTGTATAGAGATGGATAGATCGACATTGAAAATAAAAGAGTACTATTCAATATGGAATAGGTTTTATCAATGGTTAGATATAAGAGGTATAAGTTAGATCAAGAAAGATTATGTGCAGGTAAAAGAGGAACATTGTCTATGACTATAAGCATACTAGTATAATGAACATGATCGTAAACAAGCTAATATAACTATAAATATTGCTATAATCACTATGTATATTATTATCACTATCAATGTATTTGTTGCTTTTTTAGCAAAATGAAATGCCTGGACAATACACTGTTTTCAAAATATTTATATATAAATAAAAATACTAAAAAAAATAAAGAACCACAATAAAAAATAATAAGCAATATATTATCTTTTATTGGGCAATTGTTCACATGTGTAAGTTCTTATAAATAAGTAACAGTGCACTTATCATAAGTAAAATATGTTCATTGACAGAAGTCCTTGATTCTCCCTTCCTATCACTTGATATTGTTTGCTGTCCACCCTTTTGAGGTTTAACTGTCCATTGGGAGAGATCAGTTTATTACAGATTCTGTTGCCAAGCTGTCAGCTCTTTTGATTGATTGATTATATGCCATCAAGTTGGTGACGGTTAAATACTAAACTTTGTTGACAATTTAACAGTGATTTTACCACATACTAAATATAAAAGCATGCAAAACAATCTTTTCATTTTTAATAAGACTCCAGAAATTATGATAACAAGAGAAACAAGCATCAACCATACGTTTTAAGCTCAATCCACAGCTCAAGAGCATTTTATGTCAATACACGGGAATCCGCCGTACACAAAAGCACAACCTTTGTCGAGCTTAAGGAGCATCCTGGCAACAGTGACTTTTCTTCTTCTTATGCCCTTGAAGGATCACTGTAATTTACTCTGTACAGTGCTGTCCTTGAACAAAACTTGGATATTACAGCTGGAGCAAAACGCAATCGGGGCGAAATTCAAAAATTTCCCCTACTGGCTCTGTGGGTGAGGCTGTGGACATGGCTTGGTATACTTGGTACAATAGTAATAGCAACCAGGAATGATTTTTTTTTACCAATTCAAATCACCCCTAATACCTGGGGCAAGGTGGTTGAATTTCACCCCTGAGCCACCTACCAGAAGACACATGCTGGAGTAGGGGAATCTGCATGGGCTTCTAATTGATTTCTGGTCTGGTTCAAGGTGCTGGTAATTCTATAAGGTCCCTTCATGGCTCAGGTCCTTCACTGTTATAGAATCAGCTCCACCATGTAGAAGCTACTTATTGGCCACGTGTGACATGAAAAGGTCTGCTGAAGACACTTCCCCAAAACGATCAACAGGACTAGAAGGGTGAATACACTCCATTTCCATGGCTGCTCCAGCTTGCCCCACCAAAGCTGGACAGACCCCTCTCTTTCAATGTTTCTGAACTTAGTTAAACTAAGATTCTTGCAGTAAGCCTTAGATATAGGCAAGGCACTATATCGGGAGCATTGCCTGTCATGCTGGTTTTTGTGTGGTTTTATTATCTTTATTATGAATTTTTATGGATTGTGTATTTGGAGTTTAAATAATTGTGTGCTTTTGATTAGGATTATGTATACATTTTATGGTATTATTATATAAATATTGAGGATTACACTTTGGAAGGAGGGAAAGGAATTTTTTAGGGGGAGAAGTGAGGGTGTTAAATCTCTATAAGGCTAAAGACATCAGTTTATACCTTAACTCCTCAAACTGCCAACAATACTAAAGAATGCCAACGTTCTGGATGTCATCTCCTTGTTGGGCAGGGCCTCCTGTTGTGTACCTCTGACCCACAATATTGAAAGAAATCCCTCTTGTGTGGGATGAATAAAAACCATGTGTTTATACCTGCAATTTATGCTTTGGAAAGTCAATAAAAAGGGGAATACTAATATTTGGGGAAATTCCACTGCTGCAATTTTTTGCCGCAAACAGCAAAGTATATTTGAACTGGTCATGTTTTTCTGGTGAAGGAAAAAATGCAGGACTATTTCTCACTCTTAGAACTTAGAACACAGAGGTTTGGAAAGGGCCTTAGAGGGCTTCTAAGCCAACCTCCTGCTTGAGCAGGAGACCCTATACCAGCGTTGGCGAACCTTTTCGGCACCAAGTGTGGGAGCGCTGGAAACCAGAAGAGCAGCTCCCTCGCGCATGTGTGCGTGCTGCAAAGATGACCTTCCAGTTTCTGGCACATGAAGATGAGCTGGCTAGCGTGCATGCACGTGCTGGAACCCAGAAGAGCAACGGGTGATGACTCGCAGGCCCAGAGAGATGTCTCTGTGTGCCACTTCCGGCATGCGTGCCATAGGTTCGCCATCATGGTCCTATACCATTCTGGACAAATGGTAGTTCAATCTCTTCTTGAAAATCTCCAGTGAAGGACCACCCACCATTCCTGGAGGCAAGCCATTCCACTGATTAATAATTCTCATTGTTAGGAAATTTCTCATTAATTATAGGTTGGATCTCTCTTTAATAATATTCTACCCAATATTTCTTACCCTAAGTGCTTTGGAGAATAAACCAATCCCCCCTTTTCTGTAACAATGGGAGACAATGATCAAATTCCCCCCTAGCCTTTCTCTTCATTAGACAAGACATAACTAGTTCCTGCAACCATTCATCATACTCTCCAGACCTTTGTTGCTCTTCTTTGCAGTCTTTTTAGAACCTCAGCGTCTTTTTTATATTGTGGAGACCAAAACCGGAAGCACTGCTCCAGTGCAGTACATAAATAAAGCAGTACATGGCCTCTGTTGATGCAGCCTAGGTCTGCATTTGCATTTTTGGCAGCTGCAGCAGTTTGTACCTGCTCTTTGTTCCTGAGGTCCAAATCGGCGGTTCTTTCAGAGGTGTTTCCTGGTCCAGTCTGGAAACCAAGAGCTTGAGCTTAATGCCACTTCATAAGGCAGTTTAAATTGCAAGGAGATGACACCTCCAGCTGACATTTGATGTGTTTCATTATCCCATTAGCTAGGCAGTTACCCCCACATCTTCCAGAACCCACAAGCTTATTGAAAGATTAGATTTGCACTGACCCTGGTTGGACAATGGTAATAAATAGTGGCCAGATTTTTCAGGAATGGGTTGCAATTTGTGAAGAAATTTGTACTTGTCTGTCATTCCAAAATGATGGACCAGGATGAGTTTTAGAAGTGCTTCCATTGGCAGTCTTGTAAGCCTTGTCCATAGCTGATAGCTCCTTCTTTCTGATCATATACAATGCGGGCCTTTTTATAGCAGAATAATAAGTTAAGCAGTATTTAAACAACATTTTGTGGTGGTAGTCAGGGAGGGGGCGGTATGTCTGTCTGTATGTGTGGAAGGCTGACCAATCCAACTAACTAGAGCAATAAAGTCTGACCTCACCCATTCATTAGTACTGGGATCCATCCTGATAAACTCCATCTAGATTACATATTAATTTTCCAATCTTTGTTACCTTAACAAATAGAAAGGAATGATTCTATTTTAGGATTTACTGCATGTACTGTGGCTATATTGCCACATCCGAAAATAGCTACCATCTAATTTAATGCCTTCCTTATGTGGATATCTGCCAAATGGAAAATGTTATTCAAATAAAAAGTAAGATAATGAGTAACTCTAGTTTCTATCCACTCATGCTTGTGATCTCAATTACCCCTTTAGAATAACATTGACCTTTAAAAAATATTTGATTTAGTCAATGCAGATGAGATTTTATTGCTTTTTCATTAACTAATTTGATTGTGTTTGGTCGATTGTTATAATCTTTCTCCTCTCTTCCTCATTAACCACTATGAATACTTCTTAAATTGAAATTATGAATAATATGAAAGAATTTGATTCAACATGTGTCAGTGCCCAGGTTAAGTCACGGCTGAAACCTACCCTTCAACAACTGAATTTTACTCAGACAGGCAGAGTCGGATTTTGGTAGCTTAGCTGATAGGAGAACAATGCCACTTCCCTGTGTTGTGAAAGAATGTGTAAACAGCAAGAAACCAGAAGAAACATATCATAGATTTTCTCCAAAAATATGGCCTGCCAAAAGTTGAAGGCTTATTAGCATTAAACATTATAGCATTATTTTGTAGTTTTTCTTCTTTGTGATTGAAGAATATAATACAACTGGTATAATACAACTACAATTGTTACATCACAATATATACAAAGATATATTCAACAAAATCAAACGATGAAAAGTATCAAACAATGCAAATGGTATCTCTTTAATAAATGTATCTTTAAGCAAAACCTTTAGGAAAAAGGTAGACCTTAAATGAATTCTCCAAGTGCTTCCCTAACATAATCTTATAGATAATGCATCTAGGAAACGTTTCTCATCAAGATGGGGAACAAATTAATCAGTGGATGAATTTTGTGCTTTTTTTTAAAAAAAATGTGTGTTTTAGCAAATTAGCAAATCAATGAAATTTGTAGTCTTTTGGTAGAGAGAGAAAGAATGAAACTTTTCTAATTTTTAAAATAGAAATATCTGGTATAGTTAAATAAAATTAGTAAATTCTGAGAAACATTTTGAAATAGGATAATAAGCATTTATAGAATAGTCAATCTTCAACCATACAATTTCCAGGTGTGATTCTTGTGATTTTGTCTGGGTTACCACAATAAATTGTATGCACAATTTACACAGATGCAGTATTATTTAAGAGATTAAAGGTTGTCCCTTAAGAAATTTTTAACCAGAATGAGCATCTTCCTCAAATGGTTATTTGGTATTGCCAACAAAAAGCAACCCTCTCCCCACCAAAAAATCTGGAATAATAATTTAGTTATATCTCATATTTGTCTCTCAGTGAAAGCTAAACTGGAAAGAATAACTGAGAACTGAGTAGATTTAATTGGGGTCTCTCTGAAACATTAATACTATTACAATATCCTAATGATATTTAAAGTGAATTTTTACAGGAAATAATAAAAAAAAACATAGCAGTTGTGGGATCAAGCCAGTGAGGTTATTAGCATGTAGGTAAATGATTAATGATATAATCATACATAGAACCCTAGCATAGCAAGGAGTCATGAAAGCCATGGAGTCCAAACACCCCCCAACCCCCTTCACTGCAGGAATTTAAATGAAGGCATCTCAGACAGAAGGCTGTCTAACCCCCACTTGAGCACATCCAGGGAAGGGATGGCCATTGCTTCTCTGAATAATTGATTCCTCTGTTGAACTGCTCTTACAGCAAGGAAACTTTAAACCAGAACCTGCTTTTTATACTTTATATCCAGCTTGGATCCTTTCTGTGGGACGTGTTTCCAGTAATTTAAAGAATGCTCACCAATCCTTTCTCAAGACTAAATATGGCCAGGTGTTTCTCCATAGGTCTTGGTTTCTGGTCCCCAGATCTTTATTATCCTTCCCCAAGCTTCCTCTATTTTCTCTGAACTCTTCTTAAATTATGATGCCCCAAAGTGGGAAAACACTTGGAAGTGGAATGGTTACTTCTCAGAATTTGGAATTACTTTTCTGTCGATGAAGCCTAAACTAATACTTTCTTCTTTGATAACTATATTTTTTTTTCTGGCTCATATTTAGTTTGCAAACAATTATAATTCCAAAATAAAGTATTTCATTTATTTTTTAAAAATATTAATAGTAAGTGTGGTTTCAACCCGTCCATTCTTTATCTTTTTTTCCCCTTAAGTGAAGCACTTCTATCAAGTTTCATTCTATTACTTTCATCCTCTTTTCCCAACCCGTTTAATTTAAAACCTGTCTCCTGGGGTGTTAGTTGGGCCACCATTTTTGTATAATTGCAATTTCCATAAGCCAGTATTGCCTCCAGCTTTTTCATTTAAAACACTAATGAAAATATTGAAGAATAAAAGGACATAGGGTTGATCATTGTGATATTTCTTCATGAGCTGATAGCATTCTTGGGATACAATTTTTGATCTAGTTTGTGTCTACTTCATTAATGGTATATTTAAATTAGGGTATATAATACATATAGTAGAGTATATAATCCCATCATTTTTTTTTTCAAATGAGATAAAATTAGCTTGGCCAGACTTGCCCCTTACAGTCCATAGCTCTTTTTGGTAATTGCCACCTGTTCTTGACAATCTTCTCTGCAACAGAGGAATCCTTCTCAAACCCATGAGAAGAGCAGAACTCTGCTTCTTCTTCCTCCACATGTCTCAAGTAAACCATCGAAAGTTATACTCAGCTCCACTGGTTCATGCTATCTCCTAAGGCAGCAAGTCTAAATCTGCAAAGGACCTGGATAGGGGGAGATTCTCCCTCCCCATATTCCATGTGGGCACTTTGTGATGTAGAAGCAATGAAAAATCAGCAGACTAGTTACAGGGTGGAGAGGAAGCAATGCTGCCCGACATGCATCCCCCTCCCCTTCAGCATTTTCAGCCTATGATCACCGCTGGACAGACACTCCCTAAGCAAGCCTTCCATATATTAGCATTTTTCCTCTTACACCATCTAAACACCACCTGGTTGTTTCCCAACCCCCGCACCAACTTTAAGATGTGTGGACTTGAACTTCCAGAGTTGCCCAACCAGCATTCATTCTTCCCGTTGCAGAATAACTCTTTGCAGTTCTATGGTACTTTATAACATTTTTAGTGGCCTCTTAAGATCATTAACCATCTATTTATTGTATATCCCTACTGTATTACTTCGAGTTCAACATTTTAAAATATTTACATTTACAAACATAGAATGTTTTCCTGGAACAATTATTCCAAGATCTTTAAGAAATTTCACATACCAAGGAATTCTCCATACAAACTTCTCCATAGAGAATTAAAACTTTGGGAAATACTAAGTTATCAAATTATCAGATTGGGCTATGTCAATAAACAATGTTATAGACTATTGCTAATGAACTATGACATATTGTCAATGCATAATAATTTGTGTTTCTCCTTGACATAACCTCAGCATATATTAATTTAACTCTAGTTATTCTTAGGTCAACTATGCTTTTTAATTGCCTGACAGGGCAAATAATGCTGAGGAATTCTGGGAATTGAAGTTCACCCATCTTAAAGTAGTTAAGATTGAAAAACACCAATTTAGGCTAAGTGCAGGAATTCAAATTTCAGAATCTGATATCTCCACCCTTCACATAAACATTTGGTGAAAAGAAGCCCCCATCCCATGAGTACCAAGCCCCACTGCCGCATTACTTTTATTGTCAGAAAATTTTCTGTAAAATTCACTTACTTTTCTTAAATTCAAAGCTGCTACATTCTAGGAACCAAGACTGCCAACAGATGGGCTTGTAATTATTGACCTCTACCCATCCAGCTTTTGTTCATTAAGGCTTTCACAAAGCACCTTTGAGTTCAAGGGAAAAGAGTCACCAATCCTGATCATCTTTTGCCACATGGAGAATTCTTTGCTACTACAAAAGACAGCATGGGTCAGGCCAGTCTGCTACAAGGACAGTGAAGTAGGTTCTCACTTTTCTAAACTAGCTACCGTAGGATTTCTGAGCTAGCAAAAATTATTATTTTCTGTTACAGAGCTTGATTCAACGGAGTAGTTTTCTTTTCCAGATGTTTATTAATATTTACAACAGAGTATATTTTATGTTGCATCCTATTTCTTCTACATAGTCCCAGTATTTAATAACAAGTGTTTGTGATAGTAATGTTGTTTCAGTCATTTTGTTAGAATTTTTAGACTGAGAAAGGACTGGTTGTAAATTTTGCAGGAACTTACTTAGGAACTCAGTGAAATATACAATTAGAGGGGGCAAAAATTCTTCATGCAATTGTACCATCTTGCTCTTCCTGTATGAATGTGATTTATGGTCCTGGAGATTTAAACATTTGAAGTAAAGAACTGTTCCTTGGCTATGTAACTATGAATTATAGTCCGCATATCTGTCCTTTCATCCTGCTTTTCTTAATTTTCTGCTCATTTCTTGTTGCTGTTCAGTGACTGAATCAAATAGTTAAACAGCTGTGACTTTTCTGTGTTGTGCATTACCATACCTAGTACTCCTCCAATTTTTCATATTACAAACCTGTGAGGTGGATTCGGCTGAGAGAGAATAATTCAATTTTTGTAAATCCAGGCCTGCTTTCAAAGATAATATATATATATATATATTTAAATTCAGACATTCATTTCTCAAAATTTGATGAGGCTCTAGACCAGGGCAGAGAGATTAGTCCCTACAAGCCTTAGCTAATGGGAGGCAATTGTCATGTGTGATGAGGTGCAGGGGGGAGATTGCTGCAGGTTGGCCAGGAGGGGTGAAGGAGGGGGATGAACTGGGACAGTGCAGTGGAATTCCAGACATTCCCTTTGCTGCTCTCCATTGATGAAGCCTTTTCTCCCTTCCAGGTCAGTGAATAATTTCCTGATGACTGGTCCCAAGGTAAGTGCCTTCCCTTTGATCTCCATTCCTAATTCCAAGAAGCACAAATCATTTGGACCTTGTTTCTTTCCTCCTTCCCAGATTTGATAAATATGTGGCTGGATATTTGCAAGCTAGACTTGACTTGTAGAAAGCAAAAAACAACAACAACAACAACTCTTTCTACTTTTTAAATTCCTGCTCTAAAGAAGAGAACCCTGTGTTGTTATTTAATTTAATTTAATTGTACACAGGTCTGTGCCATTAATCCTTTAAAGGCAGCAGGCAAACTGTAATAGTGAGATTGACTCTCAACTGACATATGTTATGCACAACCCAGAATCTGGCTGCTAATGGTGTTAATTTAATAGAATAATAACAGAATTAGAGTTGGAAGGGACTTTGGAGATCTTCTAATCCAACTAGAAGCAGGAGAGCCCATCTTCTTCATAATATTTTGTTCCTACAAAATCTATGCTTTGCCCCATAACGAATGCTCCAGATAATTCAGTGTAAATTACTGTGATTAATGTACATGGAATTTGTTCAAAATCACTAGTTACTGTAGGTTGCTCACGGGAGCCTGGTCTTTCCACTATGTGATGTTTATTGGCTGAATTACACCAGACCATCAAATGGTTTTTATTTGGCAGCCTAGTGCTTTCATATCAGTTCTAATATGCTTTGGTTAGTATCTGTAGCCTATTTTAGATCTCTAGCTTCATACACCCCCAGGTTCCTGCTTTTTACTTCATTGCATCTTCCTAGCACATTTCAGAGCCAATACAGTACTGTTAAGAAGATTGTAAAATTCTGGCTCTTCAGTGAAATATTTGGTTAAAAATTGACATCTTCTGAAGATATTTTGGTCAACTAATAGTTTTTTTTTAAAATTCACTACTGTTAAATATCTGGGAACTCTCTGCTTGGCCTACCTGAGCTACTCCCTGCTTCTTGAGTGTAGGAAGGGCTCATTTTTCTTCCACTCCCTGCCCATTACAGATGTACCTTAAACCATTAGGTTGCTCATGGGAGCCTGGTGTTTCCACTATGTACTATTTATTGGCTGAATTACACTAGACTATCCAGTGTTAAACCAGTGTTTTGCCTAAACATTGTTTTGGAAAAATGGGAAAGTTGACCAATCTAGCCATTTACCTGGAAGCTCCTTGTTTTGACCATCCGAGTAGCCTCGGTGGCACAGTGGTTAGAGTGCAGTACTGCAAGCTACTCCTACTGCGGTTTGGCAGATCGAATCCCATCAGGCTCGGGGTTGACACATCCTTCCTTCCAAGGTGGGGTAAAATGAGGACCCCAATTGTTGGAGGCAACATGTTGACTCTCTAAACAGCTTTGAGAGGGCTGTAAAGCACTATAAAGTAGTATATAAGTCTAAGTGCTATTGCTATCTCCCCTTGCAGGCATACCTCATCTACTCTAGCAGTGTTGCAGCTGGTGCACAGAGTGGTATTGAGGAATGCAAGTTCCAGTTTGCTTGGGATCGTTGGAACTGTCCTGAGAGAGCTTTGCAACTTTCTAGCCATGGAGGACTTCGCAGTGGTAAGAAAAATGATGGGGGGGACAATTTCCATTACCCATGAACCAGTTGCATTTCTATGATGTACAGTATGATATTTCTCTGCTAGAATCTGATAAATAAGACTTCCTTATGGAATAAGATGTTGCTTGCTACTTCTTGGGTATTGCTATATCCTGCAGGTGTGTATTTCCTTTTAATTGTAGGTAATTCTATCCCAAGAAGATATTGCTATGGTCCATAGCCATAATTACTAGTTAAAGAACAAGAAGCCTAAGTCAGAAATAAATTGACAGTCCTCAGACTTAAGAAAAACTTAGAGTGAAATCCTTTAGAAAATGAGATTAGTTTTTTTTAAAAAATGTGTTCATGAACAGTCTGGGGACAGGAGAAAACATAGCAGTTGCTGATGGCAGCCAACCATTCTGGATAGAAAGAGTCAACGCTGGATTACAAAGAATTTCCAAAGCTCCTACCCAAACAGGTGACCTGGCCTCCAAATGGGAAGTATAGTTTACTGTAAGTAAGTGATGCATGTTGAGTTAGGAGACTGAGCAGATAACAGGACAGGACAGATAACAGGACAGTGGTATACATACATAGCCATTTGTTATATGATACAGATAGATTTTTATTCCTCTCTCAGTATTAAAATCCCTTTTAACTAATGAAGTATGACTGCAACTGCCAAAAAAGCCAATGTAATCCTAGGCTACATAAATAGAGGGATAGAGTCAAGAAGTGTTAGTACCACTTTATAATGCCTTGGTAAGACCATACTTAGAATACTGCATCCAGTTTTGGTGGCCATGATATTAAAAAGATGTTGAGATTCTAGAAAGAGTGCAGAGAAGAGCAACACAGATGATTAAAGGGCTGGAGGCTAAAACATGTGAAGTGGAATGGCTTGCCTTCAGAAGTTGTGGGTGCTTCATCACTTCAACTGAATTGAATCAAATACTTTATTTGGTCAAGTGTGATTCGATACACAAGGAATTTGTCTCTGGTGCAGAAACTTTCAGTGTATATGCAAAGCAACAAAACAATGATAATCATAATATAAATAAGAGGGGGAGTAAAGAAGATAAGAGGATAAATAATACTACAGCCATATTACGTGAGCAAATAATGGAAGTTTTTCAGAGGAGACTGGAGAGCCATTTTTCTGAAATGGTATAAGTTCTCCTGCTAAAGCAGGGAGTTAGACTAGAACAACTCCAGGGTCCCTTCCAATTTTTTTATTCTGTAACATTGAGTAATTCCATTAAGAGTAAATATTGGACAGAACTAGCACTTAAGCGAAGGAAGCAATTACAGAATTACAGAACCTAATAAGCATTTGTTGCATTCCTCATAGTTCCGCCACTCCAAAGGGCTTGAAGTGGGTAAGGCCCAGAGGTGGTATTCAGCAGGTTCTGACCAGTTCTGGAGAACCGGTAGTGGAAATTTTGAGTAGTTTGGAAAACTGGCAAATCCCACCTCTGACTGGAGATTTTACAGTATCCTTCCCCTGCCACTCCCACCAAGCCACACCCACAGAACCGGGAGTAAAAACAAATTTGAATCCCACCACCGGTAAGGCCTGCTGAGAAGTTAGTTCCTTGCCCACTTCTACCTTCTTTCTATAAGTTATGGCCAATTGTCAGGGAAGGAGCTGGCCAGAAGATTTTCAACTATTTTCTTCTGCCTAAAGCCACGGATACATTTTTCTTTTAATGAACTGGGAAAACCAATTACATATGAACAGACACTTAATGAGGCCACTGATAATTTAGGAATGGTAAGTTATTTTAGGACAAAATTGTGCAGGATAAGACAAAATGTTAAAAATATGCTTAAAATATTTTCTTCAGTAGCTTTTTATTTCAGCTGCATGACAGCAGCTTGTGTGCATTAATGGGAGCTAAATTACTGTAAACAACTATTAAGATACTGCTTTCCCCACAGTTTTATATATTTAACAACATATTTCAGTGAAAATTATTTTCCTCTCAGATGAATCCTGGACTGGACTTTCAATTGAAAACAGAAGCATCTGAGAGACTTACGAAGCTAAGAAAACAATAAATTCTGCTGTTTTCTCCTAAGCTGCAGTTTCTTTGGCTAAGTTGTTGTGTAATTATTTCACAGCTAACCGAGAAACAGCTTTTGTTCATGCAATCAGCTCAGCTGGGGTCATGTACACATTGACACGAAACTGCAGCCTTGGGGACTTTGACAATTGTGGATGTGATGATTCTCGCAATGGACAGTTTGGTAAGAAGTAAACTTAACAGCACATTCTTAACAGCACTCTATGTAGGGTCTTTCTCCACTCGCCTCTTGCCATACTAAACTTCTTTTTAAGAAATAGAGGTAAGAGAGCAGTGATGTATTTTAAGCATGGATGACACACTCAAAAGCCTTTAAAAGGACACGTGTAGGCAAAATGTCTCCTATTTGCACGGTACTATTTAGACCAGTGGTGGGCAAACTTTTTGGCTCGGGGGCCTCATTGACTTTTAAAATTTGACAGACGGGCCGGGTCAGCACAAGATACGATACATATAAAAAACTGCAAAATCTCCGCAAAATCAAGTCACTGCGCCTAATGTGCCACCTGGTGTCGAAATGCCTGTCATTACAAGTCAGAATCAAATGAATGCAATCATTCAATCATTCACATCAAACCTTAATTCTGTACCAATCTTCGGCGGGCCGGATTAAAAAGACCAACGGGCCGGAAGTGGCCCGTGGGCCGTAGTTTGCCCACCCCTGATTTAGACCTTTTCTGTGATCAGGAATCTCAAAGTAGGTGATATTTATATAGCTATGCAGGTATCTTATCCACGTTATCCGCTCTCCTCCTTTCTGGACCAGTAATCATAATTTTTGATGTACTAAAAGCAGCACCTTTTTTTCTCCGGCTTGATTAGTCAGGGTAGGGCACAATGTAGGACAATAAAGTTATCAGATCGTTGCTCAGATCAAGAGATGTTCTTAAAACTGATTTTTTTCCCATTGATTGGCATGGAAAAAAGCATAAATGGCTGCATCCTTTTGTTTCCTAGCAAAATGAGTTGAAATATGCAGAGGAGGAAGAGGAGGAAGAGGAGGAAGAAGGGAACAAATGGGCCAAATTTCATTAAAAGTAGTGCAAAGGTTTTGGAGCAACCTTTCTTAGATTTCATGCAGATGTAAATTTCTAGGGTAAAATTTCAGACATTGGGAAATGAAAAATAGTCAAATGTAAGACTTGGTAGACAATGAAGAAGGAAAAGGTAAAAAGATACTCTGTTAATGCTTCTCCTTGATGAGAAATGAGAAGAAAAGTAAAAAGGCGTAGGAAATTAAAGACAGGATTCTATGCAAATTTTTAAAATCTCTGGAATATAATGGTTAGTCTGGTATACAATAAGACTTTTTCTGGGTAAAATAACTTAGAACTATTTCATGGATTCATCCCTTAAAATCAAAATCTTCTGTATCTTAAGACTGCATAATTTCATCATTACGCTACATTTTTTTGGATCAGACATCTGAGTAAGAAGAAAAAGGAAGCAAAAGCGGATTAGAGCAGGGATTTGGGTCCAGATCCAAGTTTGGGTCCAGAAGGATGACCGTGTATTCTGAATCTCCTGCCTTGAACTCTGGGCTTCAGATGTGTTGTTGTTCTTAGTACACCCACTGATGGATCCCATCTAACAGTCGGGTGACACATTTGTCTCTGCAGGAGGCCAAGGATGGCTGTGGGGAGGCTGCAGTGACAATGTGGGCTTTGGGGAAGCCATTTCCAAGCAGTTTGTGGATGCCCTTGAAACAGGGCAGGATGCCAGAGCAGCAATGAATCTGCATAACAATGAAGCTGGCCGAAAGGTAATCTCATTTCCATATACTGCAAGGAGAAAAGTCAGGAAAAGCCAGGGGGAGTCAGGAGTCTTCAGAGGTTTGCTATGTATACATTTTTAATGAAACATTTGGAAGCTGAAATAGCCAACTCTGCGTTATTGGGGAATTTCACTTGATTGCAGAAAAAGCTTTAAAAAGTGTGGGTGCTCCTGTAGGTGGGAATTTCCCTGGAAGACAGAGAGAAGCGATGCTGCCTAGGAACACTTCAGATAAGAGAGTACAGCCTGCAGCTGCCGGGTTATTAGTCTATAAAGATGACAAAAGCAGAATTGTACTTTCAAACTTGCAATATTCTGCTAATGTTGTTTTTCAATAAAATAGTTTTGATTTATCTGTTCATATTTCCTGTCTGGTCCACTTTGTAAAGCTGACAGTTCCAACGTTATTCTGAATGTCCAATCGGGCAGAAAGCCAACATATTTGTAATGTTACAGGGTAGAGTTGGGCAAGTTGACTCTTGGCTTTGGAAATTCTTTGATTATGCTGACTGAGACATGATTTCCAGCTCTGCCAGACATGAAAGGGGCATTATTCATTCTAATGCAGGAGTGGACTAAGAAACCTTTTTCTTATGAAGTTCTGGGTCACATACCGGAAAAGTCAATCAATGTCTGAACTTTTGCAATGCTTCGAACTTGAACCAGATTTCCTAATTATCTTGTACAGGATTTCTTCATAGATTTCATAGGACAACAGAGTTGGAAGGTACCTCGGGGGTCACGACTCATTCTTCTTTCTCTTCTCTACAACTTTCTGCTTTTTTCTCTCTCTCTTTGCCACAGGACTGATCCTGTCATTAAGTATCAGGAAATGGTTCTTCCCTCTTATGTTATTTTGCTCACAATGCAGAGGTCTTCAGAACAACTTGCCTCCTTGCAGGCACTGATCTCAGGGATCCTATAAGTCAGGGGTGTCAAACTGAGGGTTGCCATCAGAATTATAGTTGCCCTCAAAGGGCCAGTTGCGTGTAAGACTATCCTATTAGTTCAGGAGTGAACTAATATGTTTCATATTTCCTGAACAATTTTTTTTTTTAGCATTTTGGAGAAAAAATGTTCAAAAGTCATATTTACACATGAAGATTCATGAATATTTTTTAGAAAATTGTGTATGGTACTGTTGGAAGAAATATCCTTCTGGGTTCAGTTCCAAGTGCGGAAAAAGACACTGGAAACATGGAGGCTGTTTGGAAGGTTTAATATCAGGACCACATGGCTTGGAGCTCCAGAGTGAAAAGGAAGAGATTAAGAAAAAAGGGCTGAGGTGCTGAGAGTGCCTGGGTTTTATATCCTCTGTTGGGGTTTGAATTGGAGCTTGTATTCTGATTGGTTGTCAGGCTCCCATGCAGGGGCAACTCTGTAGGCTGTCCTGAGTTCCAGGCTTGGTTGAGCCTTGCTGGGTGATTTATGCCCTTAAAAGGGCTCTTGGCAATTGCTATAGCTTAACCTGGAGATTTTTGTTATGTAAAGTATTCTGGCCCAGGCCTTAATGGCCCACCCATTAACAAAGGTGGGGTGAGTTTCTGCTTCTGAGCTGAGTTTCTGCTTCTGAGTTTCTACTCTTTTTAGAGGAAATATTCTGCCTTTTTAATATTTCCTAGGCTATTTCAATTTTCTAGGAGAGGGGTGGGTGCTAACTTCCTACAGGACTTAGAAGCAACAATAGATAAAAACAGTTCGGTTCTGGTTGAGTCAGCCAGACGTTGTGTATCTTATCAACAATAGGTATCTTATGAGTTGTGCATCATTTTTGTGGCATAAATGTCAGGGTTATATATTTATGCCTTTTCATTTTCTTACCTTTTGTTTATAAGAATAACAGAACATTTTATAAAATTATATAATTCAGCTATATAAATTGTTTTATCATCCCTTTTCATAGTGTGAAAAACAAAATTTCATAGTGTGAAAAACAAAAATATTATGAATTTGAGAACTAGAGTAGCCACTTTGACCCAAATTGCTGGTGGAACTAGGGCAAAACATACCTGATTAAATATATCTTTTTTATTTCTAGTATTTTCCTACAAGTGTCTCCTGAGTGTAGGTCCACTGGTTATGACAGGAATTCACTAACCAGCTTGTTACCCAAGCCTGATGTCCTTTCTCCTCCTCCTTTCTCCACAACAATAACTTTTTGAGCTGGATTGGGCTGAGACTGAATGACTGGCTCAAATCACCCAGCCAGTTCTCATGCCTAAGGCAGGACTAGAACTCACAGTCTCCAAGTTTCTAGCCTGGTGCCTTAATTTTTTTTTTATTTTGATTAAATAAAATTACTTCCCACTTGTTTATTAATAGTCATTTGATATTGTAATCTTAATGTATATATATAAAAGTGAAATACCATTCATGTATCATCACAAATTCTCCAGAACCGTAAAACCTACAAACTTGAAATTTGGCATGTATGTTCCTCTTGGCTTCTAGGTGCTCGCTAGGAAAGGGTTTTTTGGAATGACCACCAGAGCATTAGTATTTTATATATGATTATTATCACATTCTGATGCTAAGGAGTTCTACTCCCCTTCCCCACCTGAAAAGAAATCTGTTCCAGGTGCAAAACACAAACAGAGGAGAGGAATTTCAGTTTCAGTTTCAGTTTCACAGCACCAAGAATCTTTGGTACAGAACAGTTGAGCTAAGCCACGCCCAAGCTCCTTGCTTGTCTCCTCCTTGCTCACACAACAAATACTGTTTCAGTTTCCAAACAGCCCTCAACTCCCTCACACATTGACAGGATGCTAGCCAGATGGATGATGGTAGGCAGAGGCAGAATTTCCCCCTCCTTATTTTCCTCCCCCAAAACTAAGCCCGACCACATAATTTTGTAGTGAAGCACGGGTATCGAGCTAGTGAATAATAATTTGAAACAGCTTTTGAAGGGAAAGATTTAGGTTTACTTCCATGTGTCTAATCAGCATTTTCACAACTACTTTCCTAACTGCTGCTATTTGTGGCTTCAGCCAGCTTTAAACAAAAGCTTTATATATGCAGTTCAAAAAGAAGATATTTTTGTTTTCCATTGTTTCATTATTTGCTTTTATGGTGCTAAAGCAGAGGTGGGATTCTACCAGTTTGTACCTATTCGAATGTCGTTAACATTCTAAGCAGTTCAGAGAACCGGTTGTTAGAAGAAATTACTGGCCTAATCCTGTAAGGAAGGCAGGAAGGAAACATTCTGGTGTTGCTTACAGAAACTGCCTCTCCGTTAACCCTTATTACATTCTTGGCAGGACTAAACTTCCTGTCTCTGGAACGTCTCTGGAGTTTTTTCCCCCTCCTTTGCTGATACTTTGCTTGTGTGGAGTGGCCATTCAAAGTTACAATGGCACTGAAAAAAGTGACTTATGACCATTTTTCACACTTATGACTGTTGCAGTATCCCACAGTCTTGAGACGCCAGGCGAGGAGATGCGTGCCTCAATGTGAGTGATGTTGAGTTGGCCACGCCCAGCCAGTCACATGACCACCAAGCCATGTCCACCTAGTCACATGACCACTAAGCCACGCCCACCAACTAAGCCATGCCCACAGAACCAGAAATTTGAATCCCAACCCTGTGCTAAAGACTTAAGAACGTGATCACTTTATGGTAGCAATCCTGTGTACCATGTGGAAGATATTCTCCAAGACATTCTCTTTTGTAAATGCACACCAACCAAAAATCTACACCCCACAGGTGGAAAGACCGTCTACCTGAGTGTATTAAAAACCCCTGTGCAAATTCTGTCCCCATCTCCTTAAACCTTCCCCGTCGTCAGAAGGACCCATCTGCTAATCAAAGCAGCAGAGCATATCAAACATGAGCTTTGGGCAGGAGACAGGAGAAGGAAACAAAAATATCTCCCTGGGAGTTCTGGTACCATAGACCCCAGAACTCAGAAATTTTCAAAAAGAGGCAAACTAAAAGACAGACAGTTATGAAAAGAAGCGAGATGAAACGAGCAGCAAACTGAGAAAACTGGGGTGAGAAAAGTGTGAGGTGGCTGGTTTGTCTGGTGGGCTGAGACAGTAGCTTCCCTTTGGGTTTGCAGGCTGCCCAGGTTGGAGGAGAGTGGAGGGGTGGCATTGCTCCTGCGGACAGGGCTGCTGCTAACTGGTGCCGCTGCCAGGGGATGGGAGGCAGATGGCGGGACGGGACTAGCCTGGCTGTGGGGCCACTCCCACTGCCACCTCCTGTGTGCCACCTAGGGGGAGTGCATGGCTGGGCTGGGGTGAGACAGAGCCAAGGCAGTATCTGCTGTAATTGATGACTGGGATCTGGTGGCCACACTAGGCCACATTAGACCATTCTTAGGGCCCTTAACCTGTGCCTGGGATGGGCTGTTGGCCGGCTAACCAGAGTTGCTCTGCTGCTTTGGGAAGCATGCTGGAAAGTGGCAGGTCCTCTTTCCACCCAAAACCATGCCAGCTTCCCCTTGACCTCTTGAGCTTCTCCCTATTTCACCCACCACCAAAACCCTCACTGTATGTGCAGGTGCTGCTTCTTGCTCAACTGTCTATATCAACAACTGAAATATTTTCACATATGCAAGAAATGGGCTTCAATATATAGAATATAAAATAGATGTTCCGAAAAGGACTATTTTAAAGAAATAAAATGATACAATTATCCAACAAAATCTACTTCCTTAGTAACATAGCTTAAAGATGAACTGGTAGCGTGGAAGTGCTGAAGCTTCACTCCGAAGGGAAGCAGACTTCATAAAACGATTTGATGTGGCTAATGGACCACTTCTAGAGCTCAAGCCTTTATTTGTTATATACAGTAGGGCCAGGCAATTCCAGTACGAGCCTGGTCTCCATTTTGCTGACCCCCATTTCTCCATGGACATGATTTCATCCATCATGCAGTTTTCAAACTGTGTATACCAGCAGTCAGCCGCAAAGCAGGGGAAAGCCATAAAATCTGAGCAATTTATCATGATTACTTCTTGTACAGTATTTTATGCATATAATAAAATACCATTTGTAATAACTAGCATGACTATGACTTCCTATCATCAAACTGTTTTTTTTTTCTAGATTTAATGTGATAGGAAGGAATAAATACTTAGTTAATCCAAATAATAGCTTTGAAAACTAATCATTGCATTTAGCCCTTCATTATTTTAATCTGGAGAAAGAAAGAAAGTTGCTTGTATCATTGTACAAAATTCTGAAAAATCTTTCTGGAAGGAACTGAAAGACATGTTTGTAGCCAGTTGTTAAGACAGATCTTCGGCAAAATCTCAATTCTCTCTATTGAATAGAACATTCTTGTTCTTTAGTTTTGTTGCATGACATCTGCTCTGTTGTTGCCTTACCCTCTAGGCAGTGAAAGGAACTATGAAGAGAACCTGCAAGTGTCACGGGGTTTCAGGCAGCTGCACCACCCAGACCTGCTGGCTGCAACTCCCTGAGTTTCGAGAAGTGGGGACATACCTGAAAGAGAAGTACCACAAAGGACTGAAAGTAGACATACTGAAAGGGGTGGCCAATAGCGCTGCAAGTCGAGGTGCCATCGTGGAAACCTTCAGCTCAATCTCCAAAAAGGAGCTTGTCCACCTGGAAGACTCTCCTGACTACTGCTTGGAGAACAAGACTTTGGGCCTCTTGGGTACGGAAGGCCGGGAGTGTCTGAAGAGAGGCAAGGCCCTGAGTAAGTGGGAGAAACGGAGCTGCCAGCGCCTGTGTGCAGACTGTGGGTTGGCTGTGCAGGAACAGCGAGCAGAAATGGTGTCGAGCTGCAACTGCAAATTCCATTGGTGTTGTGCAGTTCGTTGTGAACAGTGTCGCAAACGGGTCACCAAGTATCACTGTGTCCGCAAGGAGAAGGGAGAGCAGCATGGGAGCAATGTGCCTCCACGCAAGCTCAGGAGGAAGCAGCCTTAGTGCCGACTAGCCAACCGTTGCTCTTTCACAACATCTCATATATTACTCACTTCTACTTTGTTTTCCATATTTAGATCTATCTATGAAAAGGAAACCTTCGCCTATCTAGTCTTTAAACCCACTTTGGAAGACCCCACTGGAAGAAGCTTGCAGATGTTCCAGGAAACATGAACATAATCCCAAGCTGATAGACTGTTACGGAATGAGTTTGGCTTCAAAGCCAAAGTGAGGAGGATCTGAAAGGATTTAGTCTCTGATTCTGTTGGGAGTGGATTTAGACATTCTTCTCCTTGCAGTCTCTGTGGCAGCTGGAAGGGAAGTATCAAATGAAGCCCACAAGCATTTACCATTCCCTGATCAAAATATGCAAACTGACTGAACAAAAGCAAAACCAACCAAGCCACCATGTCTGAAAATAGACTTCTGAAAGCTGATTGAATCAGCTAGAGTAAAAACAACACCCTACCGTATTGAAGAATTGAAGAAGTATTTTGAATTGTTGGCAGGAATTCTTGAGCAGTTCTGTTGACAGCTAAGCAAACTTGAAAGCCAGTTTGGTAGAGTGGTGAAGACATCATGCTAGAAACGAAGAGACCATGAATTCTAAGCCTGCCTTAGGCACAAAGCCAAGAGCTGGATGATCTTGGGTGAGTTTTTCTCTTTCAACCCCTAGGAAGGAGCAAACCACTTCTGAAAAGCCTTGCCAAGAAAGTCTCCAACAATTTGACAGTGACTGGAAAAGAAGAATAAAAAAACGAGAGTAATATATTTTCCAAGGGCTTTCTGTGTTAACTAAAATATCAAATTTCTACCTGTTGCAGATTTGTTGACCAGGTTTGAAAAGGCCAACATGCAAAAGTAATGACTCCCAACAACAGCCCTTGTTTACAGAAGGGAAATCGAGCCATGTATCCTGGGTTAACCTCTCAAGGACACTCTGTTCTGATGCTTCCTACTGGACTTGAATGCTTACAATCAGGAACATTCTCAGATCTGCAGATCCAACCCTGTCACTTTAAAACAGTTTCCCTTCTTCCATCTAGCTTTGTTTTGGCATCTTACCCCTACAATTGATTGAGAAAATTAAGGCTAGAGTGAATTAAATAATTTTTTTATTTGGGATACTTGACTGCATTAAGGGGCTCCTTAGGAGAGAAAGTGTTGCTGACTTATGAAATTATCCTATTTGTAAATAATACTCTAGCTTATGGTAGGAAGGAAAGGGAAGGAAAGGCTGCCAAAATGGAATGTAATTTTAAGGAAAATTTAACATATTTTTAGAAGAAAAAATGTTGTGAGGGGACATACTGTTTCCTAATTTCAGGCAAAATCTGTTCAGAACCTTCCCATGTGATGGGTTGAAATTTGTTACACATTTTTGCTCATTTGGTTCCAGTAGTTATCAAACTTAAGACAGACAACTATGTCTTCTATTTGTAATCCTTCCAAGTCTTTGAACCTCCCTCCCTCCTTCCCTCCCTCCTTCCCTCCTTTCTCTTTACAGGGAATATTTGCGAGAGGAACAAGCACTATATTCAGACCCCATTTGGTTGAGTTCACACAACATGCTTAACCAGATTTAGTAAAAACCTAGCAGATGATTCGCACAGCTGCTAAATTGGCCAAAATCATCTTTGATGAAATTGTTTCATGGTTCAGCTTCAATGAATGCAACCCATAGGGTCACTTTATCTTTCAAATTTTTGTGTCAGTTCAGTATTCAAGAACCAGATTAGATACATTGCATGAAAGTATCTTCTATCATTGAAAGATAGAAGTTGCTTTCACAGAAGCAGTTATACTTGATCCTCTGACTTTTGATTACTACCAATAGCATCTGTGGTGGAGGATGGGTAAGGTTAACATCTGCAAGAAGGCAGCTACATGAGCCAAACCATGCCCCTTTTGTACACCTGTATGAAAGAAGCTTAGCTTGGAGTGTGAGAACACTCTCATCATCTTGCAGGGCAATGATGCCCCACCCCAATGTAGATGCACATTATTGATTCTGATCCATTTGCAAAAAGACATGACAAACTTGTGTAACGAGGACTGCCCCAAATGATATCACAATGGGGGAAAAATACGATATTAAAGAGACTTTGTTGGGACTACCAGAAGCCTCACTTAAAATGCTTTGCTTCAAGTCACTGGAAAGTGATGAAAGAAGAGAATGAGGAAAAACTAACAGGACATTTGCCAAACAGACAAAATAATAGAGGGGAGAATGGCTGAAGAGAATCCCACCCAAATAAGTGGCAAAACATGATGCGATTTTCAATATTTAGCTAATATTTGGTGTATATTCTTGTGATAAAAACTCAAAGAATTTTCCTTGAAAAATTCTTCCTTCCTGGCAGAGATTCTACGCTTTGGGGGGGCTTCTCTTTGATCATCAACAGTGCAGTGCAGTGTGAATAAGGGTTTTAGAGACTCTAGCTGAAAAATGTCAAGGTGCCATTTGACCTTCTTAATCAGCTGCTGTCTCAAATATTCTGATTTAGTGATCCCATGACTCATTCTCTCATGCATCTTCAGGATACCTTGAACATGAGCTAGTGGTTTGCTTGGATTTTCCTGAGAATTCTCAGCTAATTCTGGGCTTCTTCGAGGAACAACGTTCCTAGTGTTACGTTATAAATACAAATATTAAGAATATACTTTGCAGTCATGGATCTGAGAGCAAGTATTGTAAACAATACCGTGGTGTTGATTTTAAAGTTGTGAACTATTATCATATTTGAGTTGAACCATGTTGGTTCCTATCTCATTTAAATGCTGTGTGTGGCTTGTAAGCAGCATAGGGTCTCACTCTCTATGGTGAACCCCAATCTTACGTTAGACCTTATATAGGGAAACTGGGCATCCAGACTGATGTTCTATGTCCAATCTCATTGTTTCATAATGAAATCCTCATCATGAAAACCTTTCTCAATCACTTCATACCTCTTACAGAATCCTCCACCTTCCATGACATAAAAAATTAAGATTTAAAAAAAAACTAAGCACTTTGAAGTTTTATTGCACAGTTAATTGTGGGGCAATACATAATTATTTGGTCCTGTGAATTTATTTTCTTTACTGGAGTCACAAAATAACCCCTGGATGAAAGATCTTTACACTCTACCTGTACTGTGTATCAGTTATCCAAATTTGTTGTGATACATTGGGAATTTTCTGTAGGTTCAGACAGGGAATATCTACAGCACTATTTCAATTTTTCTTGTTAATTTTCCCAAGAAAATTAGGCATAGCAGTTTTTAAGCAGTTTTAAGAAACAGAACTTAGGACTTAACCAGTAAATAAATTGAAAGTTAAGTGGTACTTCTTTTCTAAACATTAAAGTACGTGATAAATTTGCCATGTTCAGCCTTCTACCTCTGAAGTCCAGGCAATGAAAGGCCTACAGTGGGAGGAGCACAGAGGAACCTAAAAGGAATATATTACCGGTAATGTTTATTCTTTATCTTATATTCTGCAGATATTTGTACTTCTGTGTTTCTCATTTAAGCCTATTTAAAAAGGGTGGTAGGGAAAGAAAACGAAAGGTTGGGAGAATGGGGAATTGAGACTGAAAACTCAAGAGGAGTGAAATAAGTTTCCAATGGCTTTGTCATGCCAGGGAGGAAGAGAGATTTCTGTCTCAAGTACTACATAACTTGAGCAGTTTTGGGTCCTCTATGTAGCCTTGGCCTGGGGACGGAGTGTTTGCAATGGTGGCCTCTGGGTGACAGTTGAGGGATGGTCAAATTCAATGGCTTTGTCAACAAAGGAGAGGGAATCACCTTTGTCTTCCTTCTCTGTGCTATGCTTGTTGAATGGCTGAATATAAGGAGCATTAGAAATATTTGCTTGATAGCCCATTGACTCTTCTGGAAGGGGCATCAGCTTCACCCCATCTCAAGGATATAAAGCAGGAAATGCTTTTTTAAGGGATGGGGCTCTTGTGTATTGAAGAGGAACCAAGGTTATGCTCTGGCTGAGTGAAATGGGGAGCTTCTGAATTCTGCTAAACTATAACACAACACATGTATCTGCAAGAAGTTTGTATAGTTCCAATTTTGAGCCTGAAATCAAAGCTTCATTATATCATTTCCATATCATTTTTTTTTTAAAAAAAATCCAATATAGTAGATGGTAAAGTGCAGAACAAGCCTGAAATAAACCAACTAAATCCTTTTTTAATCCTAAAACTCACTGGAATGAGTTTTTAAACTCATTTTTAATGAGAAAAAAATAGAAGCCCGAAAGTCCTCTCTTGATGATCTAATAAATAACAACAATTTAAAATGTCAGTCCAACAGAAACTGGGTTCATAGTTCTGCTGCTCTGCCCCATCTCTTTTGGTTTTTCATTTTCTCTTTTAAAACTGGTCAGCGTTCCATGACCAAAGAAAGCATCTTTATGCCCGCTTCTGGTTCTACTTTCTTATTTTTCTTACTTCTGCAAAACTCACAGCTCTTCTGAATACCCTGCAGTCAAGACTGTTTTGTTTGACTGACCTGGCTATAACCACAAAGGCCAGGTCTTGTAGGAAGGGAACTCATCCTTGGAATAGATCAGGGATAGGGATGATAAAAAATAGGAAGTCTTGGTTCATGGGACTAATTCAGTCTAGAGACCTCATTGTATTCCAGCCATGCCTCCACATTCTTCTTGATGGAAGGAGGGAATTAAGGGTGGCCAATGAATTCACCCTACAGTTGGGCTTCATCTTTGTTTCTCAAGAGAGAAAGAGGATAGAATTCCTGAGAAACACCCTCCCTTCTACATAGAAAAAGGAATAATATCATAAGATGAATACCCATGTGTATTTCTATGTGGCCTATCAAGGTACTAAGGGTCTATTCTCCAGATTTGATATTCATAATAATGTCTTGAAATTCAGCCAAAGGTTTAAGGTGGTATAGGCTGGCAATGGGTTGCCTTTGGCATCTGGGAGTGATCATTTCTAATTTTTTTGAGATGGTGAAGCATCTCAAACAGTGTTGTACAATGAT